TATTAGCCTCATCCCCAAAGCCTCCCAGTGCCAGCCCTGTCCCCATAGTCCCCCCACTACTAGTTCAGCCTCCAGAACCCCCCAGCTCTAGCCCCACCCCCCTCACCTAGCCCTGTGCTGCTGCCCACGTGGCAGCTGCTCAGGGGGCCCCCCTCCTGCCACAGCTGTTGGGAGAGGTGTGTCCTGCCCTGCCTCTCAGCCAACAAGTACTGAGCAGGGGCAGTTCACTGCACCATGTGAGGGCTGCACAGAGCTGCTCCATGTGGCATACTCTTCCACGGCCAGGAGGAGACCCTGCGCCTGACCAGAACTGGTTCGCTGAGAGGTGTGGCAGCATACGCCTTTCCCAACAGCCATAGTGAGAGCGGCATACCCCAGCCCTGAATCCCAAAGCCGCCGCAGCGTGACAGCCAGAGGTCAGGCTGCAGCCCGGCGGTTGGGAAGCACTGCACTGTGGGATGCTTACCCATATTGTTTTGCTCTGTGGACAGGGAGCTAGCAGTGTGGCCAGGAAATGTCCACAATAGGAGGCAGAAAAATCAATTTGACAGGTTTTCATTTTTGCCAACTTTTGCATGTTGGCAGCACTTTTGTGGCCAAACCTTCCCAGTGTAGTCTAATATAGTGTGAAGTGGCATATAAACCCCACACTGGGAAACACTGCGTTAATCATATGAAAAGGACAAATGTGTTCATTTTTTTAACTGTATCCTTTGGTATATATGGTTGTGACTATTTTCTTCCACTATTTGATCTGAGGAAGTGGGTCTGGCCCACTAAAACTCCACCTATTAAACCATCTTGTTAGTCTTTAAAGTGCTACATAGTCCTGTTTTTTGTTTCAGCTAGACCAGACTAACACGGCTACATTTCTATCACTAGAACTGGAAGGGACCTCGAGAGATCATTGAGTCCAGTCCCCGGCCCTCACGACAGGACCAAGAACTGTCTAGATCAGGATTTCCCAACCTATGGGTCTGGACCCAAATATGGGTCGCCATTACATTTCAAAAGGGTCGCCAAGTGTCTCCCCAGGTGGCTCTGCCCCCCCCTTCCATTTTTGAATTGCCTTGGGTTACCAAGTCTTCCTGAATTGTCAAAATGGGTCTCCATCTGGAAAAGGTTGGGAACCGCTGGTCTAGATCATCCCTGAGAGGTGTCTGTCTAGCCTGCTCTTAAATATCTCCAGTGATGGAGATTCCACAACCTCCTTAGACAATTTATTCCAGTGTTTAACCACCCTGAGAAGCAGGAAGTTTTTCTTGATGTCCAACCTAAACCGCCCTTGCTGCAATTTAAGCCCATTGTTTCTTGTCCTATCCTCAGAGGCCAGGGAGAACAATTTTTCTCCCTCCTCCTAATAACACCCTTTTAGACACTTGAAAACTGCTATAACGTCCCTTCTCTTTTCTAAACTAAACAAGCCAAATTCCTTCAGTCTTCCCTTATAGCTCCTGTGTTCTGGACCTTTAATCATTTTTTGTGGGCTCCTTGTCACACTTGTGAAAGGCGTCAGACTTGAAGGGAGGATTTTAGAAGGGTAAAATGCAGCACAGCTGGTGACAGAGCAGACTTTGTGTGAATGCCTCAGATCAGTGCAGACCAACAGCTGTGCCCTGACAGAAGGGAAGACCCTCTGCTGATCTACTTTTAGAGGGATTGTTCTTCCATATTAGCCTATGAGCCTTGCTGGGACCACAGCTTAACAGTTGAAGAGCAAACTTTACACTTGTGGGACAATCCATTTGTGCTCATCCTTCTTGTGTTCCTTGTAACCCTGAAAGGAGCAGCCAGCCCAGAGCTTAGCCAGAAGGGCGAGCCTTTCACAACTGGACAGGCATGGTGGAACACTCAAGTGTCTCAGTACAAAGGCCCAGCATCAGATCTAGGAGAGCTCTGGGAAGGATGCAGTGAAACTACTTTCAAACTACTGCCCCTATAATGATGAATGGTACAGAAGGGGTATATAGGAACAGCCAGTTTTCTCAGTGTAGGAACACTGAATGAAACTGAAAGGCAATGAATTTAAGGGATAAAAGGGGACACTAGTTTTTAAACACAAAAGGCATAATTCATTATCCACAAGATCTGAGGACAAGTGATTAACTGGATTACAGAAAGTATTATTTATGCACATAGGTAATGTGCAGTCACAGTCACAATAAAAGGAGAGCTTTAAACCCACTAATAGGCAGGGTTTGGGAAGAATATTGCCCAACAGATAGATTATTCCCTCAGGGTATGTCTACACTACAGTGTTATTTTGAAATATCTTATTTTGAAATAGTTAATTCAAAATAGCTTATTTCGAAATAACACATCTACACATAAAATTCCTTTCAAAATAGCATTTTGCTATTTTGAAATAGCGCGTCCACGCTGAGTGGACACTGAATTGCATTGAAGGCCGGCAGGAACCAGGTCCGGCAGAGCATCAGGTCAGGGGTTTATTTGTGTAGCTGCTGCCTGAGGCTATATGAGGCTTTTGCTTAAAGGGACCCCCAACACGGGCAGCTGGTTCTCAGCTTTCCCTGCTTGCTTGCCTACCTCCATGAGGGACAGCAATTCATTTGTGTCTCTGTGTGCTCTGGTTGCCCTCACTTGGGACACCACAGCACTCTGCAACATGGAGCCGGAGCTGCCCCTGGGCACTCTGGTGCTTCTCATGGACGTGTTACTGCGAGCCTGGCTGCACTTTCTGCAGGCTGCCATCCAGGAGGTCCATTGGGGGGCTATCAGTATCCAGGAGGCCCTGCATGAGAGCTTCCACCCTGAGGAGTACTAAGAGCCTCCCTAGTCTGCCCCACTGAGGGCTTGTGCTTCGTTCCTCCCCCACATTGTTACATTTACCCTCCCTAACCCCCCTTCCTGATGTCAAATAAAATACACATATTTTCATGAACACAAACTCTCTTTATTTAACAAAACTGGGCGGGGGACTGGTGAGACTGGAGAAAGGAGGTGGGAGAGGGGAGGAAGATGGTGGGAGAGGGGATGGGGAAACCTGGGAGGAGAGAGGTGGAAGGGGGAAGCAAGGGGAAGAAGGGGGAGGGGAAGCTCAGGGCTCAGGGTTGGGGGTCTTGCCGGACCAAACTGATTTTCATGCGAACCTGCTCCTGCATTCGCATGTGGCCTTTGGTGACTAGGCTGGCAGCTATCCTGACATAGATGGCGTGTTCCTCTGTCTAGTGCGGAGATCATAGATGTTGGGGGCATCCCCCCAAACCTAAGTAAGGTCCACCCTGGACCAGGAAGGAGCCCACCTTCTTCAGGTTCTGGCAGGCTCCCGGGAGCCGGCAGACTGCTCCTGCGGAGCGCTGGGT